TCATCAGTTCAATAAAGAATCCTCCATTCTTTAGACGTTAGGCGAGCCCTTGCCTTTTACGTCCAACGCACCCAACCTTTCAGGTGTTCACCTCAACTTTTCATAAGTCACCAACCACCTACTAAAGTTTGCCAGGTGACGTCTCAAACTATATCTAGATAGGTCACTTCAACCATTCATCTCACATATCAGCTGGCATGCAGACCAGTCCCGAAGGTGATTCGCCCTCGCTCCACCACAGCAGTGGCGACCAGTACAGCATTCCTATGTGGCATACCTCTTCCAGACGTCTGTGCCTCTGCCACCAGGGCACAGCCATCCACTTTCATCTGGCATTATAGACTTGATCTCTGACAAAAGTCTGATGCAGCCTTTGGACGTGCTGTTCTAGCCTCTACCTTGGCGTGACACTCCTCTGGGTAAGACAGCTTTTTAGTCACCCAGGGTGTGATTCACAGAGGCCACGAAGAAGAAAGACAGGTTAACCACCTGTAATTGTTGTTCTTCGAGTGGACCTCTGTGATTCACACATCCCACCCCTCCTCCCCACTGCCACACCATTCTGCTTAATGTAGCAGCAGTTGACACAACTGAAAGGGGAGCCTTGGCACCAAGGTACACCAGGGGGAGGAGCCTTATTCTAATGTGTTTTTTTGCTCTAGAACTTTCCAATGAGGCTCTGCGCAGGCACGGATCACTCAGGGTGTGAATCACAGAGGCCCATTCAAATAACTACAATTACAGGTGGGTAACCTGTCATTTCTTCCCCACCTCCTGGAGAAACTGTGTTTTGGAGCATTCTTTCCTGCTCATCTGTATCTTCCTTTCTTCTCAAGTGCCCAAAGGGCCAAGAATCATCATATTAATGCCTGCTTTGAGATGTATGTTTAATCATGTTCAGGCATAAGCACTCACTGTTGAGAGGTTTCTTTTTTCTTCTGAGAATGTTGCAAAATGTCAACACATTCAGACTTAATAAATATAGTCTGCTTTCACCACTGTCAAATATAGAAGCAGTAACCAAATACCAATTCCAGAGGAAGCTGGCCTGTGCATTACAGAACATCAATGCAGAAATGTACAAAAGTCTGTTAACAGAATAGGTATCCACCACCATTCGTACAGGTAGCCTGAGAAAGGAATACTTGGTTACCTCTAAAAATGTAAAAATCATTTTTGTTTACATTTAAAAATGTAAATGTAGGTATTTTTGGTTTTTGTCAAAGAATCCTTTTTGCTTGTATGTCCTGTCTCAGAGTAACAGGTCACCTTGTTATTCATCTTGGTCTCATCGAGGTTGTCCTTTGCCTTCTGTCAAGAGGCATATTTCTGCCAGGAAAGACAATATAATGTGGCCTTTTATTGCAGTTCTTGTATGCATGTAAGTCTTAAGAAATTATAAATAAGTACATACCAAATGTGTATTCTCTCATCCATTGAGGCAAATGTCCCTGTTTGGGGTTCAGGTTTTCTGGGAAGTACAAGTAACAGAAAACAGAAAAAGAGCAGTCCTTCCCCTCAGGCCTCCCTTCCCCAGCCTCCCCTTGTTGTTTTATAGGGTAGGCATAGGGAAGCCCTCCAAATGGTTATGGATTGCAGCTCCCAGCATTTCTCACCACTGGATCCATTGGCCAGGAGAGAAATAAGTTGCAATCCAGCAGTACCAGAAGGGGATGTGTTTTGTCCACCCTGTTTGATATATAGCTGTAGATGACTGTCAGACTTGAGTATTTTATACTTGTGTTGGAGGCAGTAGCAGTCGTCCTGTTCTGGAGATTAGGAAAGAGGGGGGAAAATGTCCACTAAGTATCCCTGTGTACCACAAAATACTTTCAGCATTCACTCTTCCCCACAACTCATGATTTAAGCTCTTTGTTTGTTCCAGGATACTTACTGTAAGTTGTCGGAGAAATAAATAGGTCTTTCTCCTCTCTTCTCCGCCTTTTATTTTCTCCCTTCTGTTTCCTTCTGCTGAGATACAAACTTTTAGGACACTGCTGTTCTCAGCCATAGTGTTAAGAATTGGACAGCTGTTAAACTCTGTCTGGCTTTGGGTTCTTTATGCCCTTCTATGTATGCATGTATGTCACGGTTCAGCTGCCAGTGACAGTCTGTAAGTTCACACATTTCCACCAGTTTTGTTTCCTTTTTTGAAAAGATGCAGTTTTCTTTTGAGCAACAAATATTAGTAATGTTGCATTGTCTAGGACATCCCACAGAAATGTGGAAGCCACTATCTTATTTTTTTTTTGAACCCATCTTCTTTTGCTTCCTAATTGATTGGCACTCAACCATCTGAATTTGCTGTTAGATGGAAAGCTCTTAGAACTGTTGGGGCAGAAGATACACATTCATGAGGAAGAAAGGTCTGAACTGCAGTGTCCCCCAAAATTTGCTGTGACACCCCCCCTTGTCAGTTCAAAAGCTACTCCTGAGTTGAGGTTGCTTGTTTCTCTGGTTCTGTGTCAAAAACACTTTGCATTTTATTTTATTTTAATTTGTGTTCTTGTATCTATTTACACATTGGAAGCTGGACTTCTGATAAGCTTATCAGAGTCATATCACATAGAAGCTAGTCATTTTGCCCCTGGCGGGAATATTATTTATATATTTGTTTGCTTTGATTTGTATACCACCCAGGTCACTCTAGGTTGCCAGATTTGTATACTGTCCATCTGTCAACCCAGACCACTGTGGGTTGCCAGAAAGAAAGTATACAAAATAAACGCTGGACACTAATTTGCAGCCATCTTTCTTCACATACACCCTTAAATAACTCTGTGTGTTCTTTACCCTCTGTCTCGCAGGATGCAATATTGGGCCAGAAGACTGGAACAAGAGTTTGATGGCGTGATGAGGATATTTGGTGGTGTTCAGCAGCTCAAGCGGGTAAGTTTTTTCCCCTTGTTTCTTTTTTCCTCCTCCCCCCCCATGTGGAGTTATTTGTGGATCAAGAGACCTGCATCCTAAGAAATAGTGGTCACTTATTTCAAACAGCATCTGGTTTCCGGTGGTTGCACAGGATCACAACCCTATGACTCTAGATCTGACCCCACTGCTAACAAGAAATAATTCACCATGCTTGCTGTTGATTTGTAAGCTGTGGAGAAAGTTGGATACGACAAATTTGGCACTCAAGGATTGTCTTTTGTTTACTACACCTCGATGCCAAACCCAGACAGCACTTTGGGTCAGATTTAATGTGAAGCTACGATCTCATACCATAGGAACGATCCATGACAAGCTTCGGAGTCATGCAGTCTCTTTCTCCTCCCCTCCTCTCTCCTTTAATACCTGGATGTAGGTTATTGGGAACCAGTTACAGTACCTGCAGTTGTAAACTAATCCCATGGTCAAACTAGCTTGCATTACCAGCTGAACTGTTTTTTTTTTTCGAGTGATAAAAGAAATGTGTGTCTTAGCTCAACATTTTCTTACCTGAAGGGTTAATTTGTAATTCAGACTCCTGGCTCTGAAGAATTCTTGTTGCTGGAGGACAAACATCCTGTCAGCTTCTAAAGTTGTACAGAATGGCCTGTCAACACTGACCCTCGGTTTCTTGTAAAGTTTCTTGTAAAATTTCTTACATGCTTTGCTAAGTGAGAACAGCCACCATTGAAAACTGTGGTTGGCTCAGCTATGCACTGCTCAGCTTTGCAAACCTGACAGGATAAATAATACATTTAAAAAAAAAAACACTTTGTTCTGATGGTCAGCTTGGAGGACTTGCATATACAAACAGGAAGAAGAGACAGACAATAGTTTCAGTTTTATAAATCTGAATACAAGTAATAGCCCCTAAGCAAAGTCCTAAAAGGAATTTTCTTGCTTTGCAACTGCATGACATTTGGCACAGTCATACTTATGATACCTGTTGGAGTGCTCTGGGACTTGAACAATCCATTCTTAATACTGTGGCTAAGTCTTTTTTATCTTGGTAATTAAAAATAGCAGTCACGATGTTGGAGGAGGTAAAGGTCTGGGATCTACAGGTCTGACAGATGTAATAATTTACACCTTTTGAGTTCTGATTTTGTTTCATATGGTTTATCTGTGTGTGTGTGTGTGTGTGTGTGTGTGTGTGCGAGAGAGAGAGAGAGAGAGAGAGAGAGAGGGAGGGAGGGAGGGAGAGAGAGAATGGCCTAAAAGCAGTTGTTAGTCCAAAGTAGTGTAGATCCATTGAATCAGTGAAATTAATGAAGGTATTGACATACTAATTTTCTGCTGACTTAGTGGGTCTTCTAACAGATATGACAAGTATTAATAAAGTTACTGACAGTTTTCCAAGTCCTCATCAGCAAGAATTCCCATCTCTTTGTGAAAATGAAATTACATCCTGTTTTCTTTAATCCTGTTCTCCATTTTTGTTTTGTTGTCTGTTTCCCTTTTTTCACCAGTCGTTTTGTGTAGGAAATTCCCACATTCTGCACATTCATGAGTAGAAACAGCATCTTTTCTACACAGGACTCACAAAAAAGGGCATTCTTTCTGGTGAGTCCTGTGTAGAAAAGATGCATTCTGCCCATGAATCATAATAATTCTGTACAACTGCATATTTCTTGTGAGTCCTGCCCAGGTAAGATGCCGTTCTGCACAGGAATAGTAAGAATGCTGCGTGGATTGTCATGTTTTTCAGGGAATTACAGGAATTTCTTGCATAGAGAAACTTGCGGTAAGGAGAAAAGAGCAATTTTTCCCTAAGAACAGAAGAGACTGTGAGATTCATTTCCTTTAGTGAGTTCTGACTGATGCTAGCAATCAAATTTAGGGGGAAGAAAGAAACATGTGTGGTCTGTGAGGCAAAGCACCCTATTTGCCGTTTTATAGAGTCCTAATCATAAGGCAGTGGCACACCAGCAAACAATAAGAATAAATATGAACAACTATAGTGTCTTTAGCTTGGTTTCCCCTTTTGATTTTTTCCTATTTTTTTTCTCTTTATTTGCTGTGTGCGGATATGGGTCTGCGCTTTGGTTATTGACTGAAGTCTCATAACTGCTCTGCCACATGAGGCATGAAATTTACTGTCAGAAAGATGGCATGAGAAAATGTAATGGTGCTGAGTATTTTCTCTCAATGCTGGCACACACGCACACAAAAAAAATGATTTTTAACACTGTAGGCATTCCCAGAAGCAAGGAATGCTGCTTACTGCCTAGGTGTTTTTTCTTATTTTCAGGACTCCTTTACTTATTAGCATTTTTTCTACAGCACAGCTCTTGCTAACTATTTGTCTATCTTTGTTTCCAACGTAGGTTGCAACTATACTGGCAAACTGAATACTCTGATTTGTTTGGGTTTTTTTTGTTTTTTTTGTTTTGTTTTGTTTTAATTGGTGTCCAGAGGTAATCCAGCACTAAACTAGTGTATCAATACCAGTGATAAGGTGATCTAGTGCTAATTTCCTGTATTGAAAAAAAGTAATAATCAGAGGATGGTTGAGGGGAAAGAACAGGAGGGTGGGTATTCCCATGATCCTTAACATCATTCTTCAACTGTGTACGTTGCTGAAACACCAGTGACAGACAAATACCTCCTTTTTACAAAAGCAAATCAACTGAACACAAATGAAAAAGTCTGTTCAAATTGTTCCAACTTGGAAAAAAGCAGGAATCTCTTGTTGCAGAGAAGAAAAGCCACGTTGAGAGCAAAAAAGTCCCAAACTGATTTGAATCAGCCTTTGCATCCTCTGTGTGTGTGTGTGGGGGGGAGACGGACTTTGAATCGATACATACCAGAACCACAGCTAAGCCCATGGTATCTGAACATGTAGTCAGAGCCTACGTTTTAGTGACTGCAAAGAAGATGGACCCAATATAAACAATCATGGGCTTGCTGCATCCCCTTCATAGACAGAGAATGTGTTACAGATTAACAGAAACTCCTGTTTTCTGGTGAACACCAGTAGTCCTTATTCAATAGGTTTTGAAATATCAGGAGAAATGGTGTAAAATCAACAGTTTGGGGCAAACCAGGAGATCATTGTCTGATTTTGTGGACATGTGTGCATGGGATTATTCTTTTCAGATGTGGAATAACTGAAGTGCATCATAACCACATAAATCTCCTATATTTCATCTTATTTAGAGTCAGAGTGCTGAAAACTTCTCTCAAACCAAAACTTCACTTTGGAACAGAACTACAGTGGTGCCTCGCTTAACGAGCGCCTCGCTGAGCAATGAAATTGCTTAACGAGGTGCTCTGGGCCATCGCTGGAGCATTCGCTCAGCGATGGCCCCTATGGCGATTTTTCGCTTTGCGATATTCGCTAAGCGATTCGCTTAGCGAATATTGCATAACAAAGCGGGGGAGAACAGCTGATCGGCGGTTCCAAAATGGCCGCCGGAAGGTCCGTGCCGCATTTTCACGCCCTGCCCTCGCTTACCGAGGGCGCGAAAATGGCGGCGCTATGGCAGAACCTCGCACAGCGGTGAGTTTTCAAGCCATAGGAATGCATTGAACAGAGTTCAATGCATTTATATGGCTTTTTTATTTCCGCACAGCGATGTTTCGCTATAGCGAAGGTTAATCCGGAACGGATTAACCTCACTATGCGAGGCACCACTGTACAGCATACTGTTACCAAGTGGTGGGAAGGCTAGTAGGATGCTGTTACTGTGTATTAGAGACAGGCACATTTTGCTTCGTGGATGTCCATGAACCACAAATTTAGGAATTATTCCTGAACGAACCACAAATCAAGTTGTAAATATATGTAAGTAAGTATATGTGCATATTTATTTATTTATTTATTTACTTACTTACTTGCCTGGGCTGTCAGCCAGCCGGTAGGGCTCTGCAGATGAGAGGTGGGGAACTGTGCATAGGCCCCCTGATAGGCTGACAAGCTGGCTTTAAAAATATTTATTATAATTATTATTATCATCATTATTATTCAAAAACACTAGGCACGGTCAATCAAAATTATAAAAATTGTGACTGGTATTATACAACAGGTACAAGTTGTAACCAAAAACTAAAGTATTTGTTAGATATCAGAGCAATATGTATGCTGTTCCCAATGACTACGGGGACCATTGAAATGTGTTTCATCCACAAGCAAGATATTTCGATTGCCAGGTCTCGGTATTTTGTTAGTTTTTCTGATTCTTTATTTTCAACTCTGGCATACCCTGGAATTGCAATGCAATGATAGAAACATTTCTTTGTTCTATTACTACTATGTCTTGTGTGTTATGTTTGAGGTGTCTATCCCTTTGGATCCAGAAATCCCACAACATCTTTACTTCCTCATTTTCTGACACCTTCTCTACCTGATGTTCGCATAGGTTTTTGGACGCCGGCAAGTTATATTATTTGCATGATGACCAGTGCACTAAGTTTGCCAGTCTATCATGTCTAACTTTGTTATCTGTTTGTGCGGTCTTTGGATATTTGCAGATGAGGTGTGGCACAGTTTCATCTTTTTCTTAGCAGAGACGACATTTGCTGTGAGCACTAGTTCCTTGGATCTTGGCTTTCATCACGTTGGTTTGGAGTGCTTGTTCTTGGGCAGCAAAAATCAAGCCTTTCGTTTCTTTCTTAAGGGTCCCCAGTTTTAGCCATGCCCATGTTGAATTGCGATCATGCTTTCCATCGATATTTCTTTGGTATTTTCCATATAGTGGTTTATTTTTCCAGCTGTTTAATTTATTTTCACATTGTTGTTTCTCATCTTGATCCTTTGTTTCTGTTATTTTCAAAATATTCTCCATTTTCACTGCCTTAAGTAATTTTTCTCTGCTTGTACTGATATAATCATTGAGGCTTCTTTTTTCCTCCTCTACTACCTGCTGTATTTGCAATAATCCATGGCCTCTAATTTTTTGTGGTAACTATCCACATCACTTTTTGGATGTACTGCGTGATGCATGTTCATTAGATTGTAT